CTGTAATCCACATTGTGCTGTTGATAGAGAGAGGAGAAAGGAAGTAGTTTGTTGACTTGACGCGTCAGCTTTCCCCGTATTTGGAAATGAGGGTCAGGGACTGATCTCCTGCTCCCCTTTCACATGCGCGAATTGACTCTCCGGCCCTTACAATAACTTCTCAACAGACAGAATGATGGTGCGAAAGGATACCACGCCCTTTCCTATATCATGAGCTTCCAATATGCCGCCCCGAATGCATCCCCGACAAACGTCCGCAGCCCCTCCGCAGTACGCCAGATAAGCACGAAACTCGGTAATTTCCTTCCAGAAAGACTTTGGGGCAGCCGTGGTAGATTACAACACAATGGAAAGGATCGGCCTCAAGGACGGATACGGACAGTGCGGCGGCGATTGCTCTGGATACCGGCGGTCTTGATCCTTCTTTGGCTCCTCGTTCTGCGCTGGGGAGAGAGGACCATCTTCAGTGATAGCGTAGCAGCTTGTGATTGGGAATCCTGGGAGGACTGGGTGCGCGCCGCTTCAACACATACATCAAACATACACAGTTCTGACTGATGTCCAGCCTGCAGATGCCCAGCCACACCATCTCATATTTCTAGCAGATCCCCAGCTCATTGACCCCCACACCTACCCAGGCCGACCGTGGCCGCTCTCCAGCATCACCATCTCTTTCACTGACAAATACCTCAAGCGCTCCTACAAAGCATTGCAGCGCACACTCAGCCCTCAGACCATCTTTTTCTCGGCGACCTATTCGACGGAGGTAGAGAGTGGGAAACTACGGGCAAAGGCGGGTTCAAAGCTTCGGAAGAGCGGTGGAAAAGCTATGGCACAGAATACTGGCTACATGAGTATGATCGGTTTGGCAGGATTTTTTCGATCAGGACCAAGTCACCGGTGGAGTCTCGGGACACATTGTACAGGACAGGAAGATCATTGCGAGCTTGCCCGGGAATCACGATTTGGGATTTGGCGCTGGAGTGCAGAAGCCAGTAAGAGACAGGTTCAGGGCGTTCTTTGGAGACGGGGACAGGGTTGATGTTGTCGGGAACCACACATTCGTCAGCCTAGACACGGTCAGCTTGAGCGCGAAGGGCCAGGAAGGTGCGCTGGACGTGATATGGAAGCCCACGACGGAATTTCTGGACAACGTCAAGGAAACAAAGATCAAGGCGGTAGAGCACGAGCTCAGACTTCAAAAGAGTAAGGGAGAGCTCGCAAGGAAGCATGCGCATGAAGTCATACACCCGAAGGACCTTGAAAGGCAACCGACTGAGGAGGAACTGGCGAGAACGGCGAAACCTGAGTTCCCAACCGTCGTGCTCTCTCACGTCCCATTCTACAGAACACCCAGGACGCCTTGTGGTCCACTCCGCGAACACTATCCGCCGAGCAAACCAGGTCTGGAGGTAGACGAACAAAACGCTATTCGCGTCGCAGGCGGCTTCCAATACCAAAACGTTCTCGCTCCGGACATTACGACAACCATCGCGGAGAAGGTTGGAAACATCAGCTACGTCTTCTCAGGCGACGACCACGACTATTGCGAAGTCTTGCATCGACACTACCCCTCCGCCGGCGACGGCATTCGAGAAATTACGGTCAAGAGCATGAGTCTGGCAATGGGTGTCCGGAAGCCAGGCTTCCTCCTCGCTAGCCTGTGGAACCCAGTTGATGGTTCGGGTCGCTCGCTAGGTGCGGCCGACGAGCCAACCCTACAAACACACCTTTGCTTGTTACCTGATACCGTTGGTACGATCATCCGTTACGGCATGTGTCTCGGTTTCACCCTCTTCGTCCTTCTGATCCGAGCACTCGTCCTCGCCGCACGGAAAGACGAGTATAACCCAGTGCGCTCCTCAAGCCCTATCCTTCCCACCGTCGAACGATCAGCAAAGAGCGTCAGGAACGGAAGCACGGGAGGTCGCCACCGCGCCGCGTCCGCATCCTCTAACTCGGTTCCCGGAGCAGACGGAAACAAGAATCTCTCCGTTCGCTCGTACAACGCGCGCGCTCGCAGCGTGAGTCCTGCTCCTGGAGGCAGTCCTAACAACAATAACAACAACAACAACAACAACGGGACCGCTGACTACAGCTACGGGTACGGCTTACCTCCAAGTGGTTTGCCGCCGCATATGGCGCCGTGCAGGCCGCAGGCGCCGTTGATCGACCGTGCAGGCTATTATGGCAAAGAGAAGGATGATAGAGAGGATGAGACGGATGAGTGGGGTTACTATCCGGACGAGAAGAAGAGCGTGCTAAGGATGGAGAGGGGGAGAGGAGGCCAAGAGGTTTCTTGAGGCGGGTGGGAGAGGAGTTTGCGTTGGGTATAGGATGGGTCGCGGCGCCGGCGCTGGTTTGGTGGTGGTGGTTGATGAGGAATTGAAGTTGGAGGGGATGTGTCATCACCTTTCCAGCGATTAAAAAGTAGATTTCGAATACCCGTACAGAGGTCATGATCAGAACCGGAACCCCAGAATCGCGGTCTCATCGTTGCCCGTTGTCCCCAAACTCCAGCATTACCTGTACAATCTCCCATCCTCTCATTATAGCCTGTTGCGTGACCAAATCCACCCATACTTCCCGTTACCACGGCATGACCCTGCCTGCCTCACCCCTTTTTACTGTCCGCCCTTGTCGTATCGTCCACTTTGTTTCTTCTCGGCGGAACAAATCGTTCGCTGCAACTCATCCAATCCGGGCCAATCATCCCGCGCCGCATGCTCTGCTGCAGCCGCTGCGGATCTTGCGTCTTCCATCGCTCCCAGTTCTCCGATACTCGCGCTCGCGCATCCTCCACGACAGATGACACGAGAGCGGAGAGATTTGTAAAAGCGCTGGTGGTGGGAAGTGCGGAAAGCGTGGTCGTGAGGGTAGCGTTAAGCGTGGATGACCGGGTGGGCGCCTGAGAGGAACCGTTGTCTTTGTCTTTGTCTGGAGGGTTGGACATGGCGGCTGACGTTTGCAGTTGCCCTCGGGTAGACCGATAGTATACCTCTGGAGATTTTTCGCTCCTCATGCTTCGAGAAAAGGTGTAGAGGTGTTTTTATACATCTGAGATCACGGAGCTTCCCCTCACTTCGTGACGTCGATCATCACATGCAAGTCCACAACCACTGTTCTCTCACCTCAAAACCTGCATGCTCAGCAAATACTCAATATGCCATCGCCAGACGAAGACCTCCTCGCCCGCCTCAATGCTCTCAAAGCCTCCCCGTCTCTCTCTCCACCAAACCGTCGTTAGGGTTGGGCGCAAGGGAAGCAGAGCCCGACGATGCCGACGACCTCGCAGCGCGCTTCCGCAGATTGAATGCTAGTGCATCGTCTACGCCCTTGAAAAATAACAACTACACGGTCCCAGAGGACACTCCTTTCAACGAAGAGGACGACAAGACACTGGAAGAGTTGCTGCAAGATCTTGGGCCCGAGGAGCAGTGGGCGCTGAATGCGGACGATCCCAAGGATGTGAACCGCCTGCTGCATGAGGCGAGGAAAGCACTACCTAAGGAGGAAGAAGAAGCGTCAGGGGAGAGAGAAGATAGCAAAGAGAAGATTGATCTAGTGCCCGTGACCGATGCTAGACAAGACGTGGATATCGAGATCTCCACCCAGCGGCCGGGCCAAGGAGAAGAGGGGTCGTCGGAGGGCCAACAAAGGAGCGAAGAGCAGCGGGACTGGGAAGAAGCGGACGCGTACGTAGCGCAAGTACTTGCGGAGCTGGAGGTAGAGAAGAAGTACGGTCCTGAGGATGCGGGACAGAACGTCCAGAATCCGGACATCGAGCACCAAGAGAGCGGCAAGAACAGATCAGCGGACGAGCAGGATACGTCCAAATCAGAGAAGGACGAGGAAGGGGAGTTGGGTTTACCGTCAGCACCAACATCCCTCCCCTCGCCTCCACCGCCCGCCTCCGCAGCCGCCGAATCTGCGCTAGACGAAGCACTTGCCTCGCGTTTTGCCTCCCTTTCTTTGCCTTCTGCGCCCTCGTTCAGTCCGTCCAAGAAGCCCATCACGGTGCAGAAATCGACACCTTCCAAGTCCAACCTACCCAAGTACACGGACGAAGATATCGAATCCTGGTGCTGTATCTGCAATGAGGATGCCACGGTAAGGTGTCTGGGCTGCGATGGGGATTTGTATTGCGCCGAGTGCTGGAAGGAGGGACATGGGAACGGACCCGGACAGGAGAGGGGGCATAGGGCGGTTGAGTATAGGAGGAGTGGGTTAGTGGGTGCATGAGGGTGGAGTTGGAGGGTTGACGACTGACGTGGTCATGTGATTCGCTGTCCGTGTGGAGGAAGTGATGCGCTGGAGAAGCACACAACCGGAAGCGGGTATGCACAAGGAGCAGACTACAGTGACGGAGATCCAGTGCGACTGAACGAGGGCAGTGGGGTAAGAGGAGGGTGAACAGTCCCAGGGTTGTGTCAAGCCAATGTAAGGGTCACTGAGAGCTGCTTCTTCACTAAAACCACGGCGGGCCTATGGCAGATAGATTGGTATGGACTGAACGTCTAGAGATGGTAGGCCGCGCAGATTGATGTGAGTAAAGCCCCTCGATAGCTATTATCCCTGCGGCTCATCATTCTGTATAGGTTACCGACACCTGCGCGTCTTTCAGTGTCGTTGCGTCGTGTGCCACCAGTGTCCAAACTCGCCTTCGAATACTGGCTCCGCCGATGCCATGATCGGACGCAGCGATGCGACATTCGTTCTCGTAATTCGAGTCTTTGCGGACTTCGACGCATCAGCCTCTGGCGATGATACAGCAGCAAGAGAGGAAGGTGAGGAAGGCCTTCTTATGCTCATAGGAACCAAGCTAACAAAGGCAGTAAGTGATAGCCATGACGGAACATTTGTGCGAAGATCACGATTACGTCGTTGACCACGCTTCAAGAAGAATCATGTGAAGTCGTGTGAAGATACTCACACGCCATACTTGCATGAAACAACCCACATGTTAGTCCAATGTTGACACCGCTGATCCATAAGTGAGTGGCAACGTAGCTTAGGTTGGCAAAGCGGGTTTCTACAAACGTGGCCGAACCCCGGGCGTGGGTGTAGGCAAGTTGTCAAGCGCGATTCATCACCTGTTTGGCGAGTTTGGAGTCGTTCCCGGTTCGAGCCCGGGCGGTGTTACAGTATTCGAGTTCATGTTCTCTTCGGACAACAAGTTCTGTAGTCCCCTAGCACATAAGCCTCACGATTGTGAGCAGTTGGACCCTGAGTGGTGCCCGGGATGGAGGACGCCGAGGTAGGAAGTATTCCACCTAAGGTTCGGACAACATCTCCCATAGTCTCTGAACACTGAAGTAAGAGACGGCCGTCTGGGTGGGTTCTGCTCGGCGGTTGGTTGCGTCCCATGTCTATCAAGGCATCAGAGCAGCGACAACGAGGACCGGAGTACGATACATCACGGGCAGCTCTACCACATCATTCCAACTCGACGAGAAGTGAGCTGTGCAAGACAACACCCCGGTCTCAAGGTCATGTTTCGGTTCCGAAAAAGAAATCGCCTGGCAGGAAAGAGACCAAGGACCGAGATAGCACCAGAACATATGGTCGCTTCGAGTACCAGAACTTCCGGTTCTCCCCCTCCTTTTTTCAGTTCTCTGTTTCTTTCTGCGGTTTGGTGGTTCAATGTCCGTGAAGCGTCTCATCTTTGAGTTCACTTCGCCCTTTGCACATAGTCGCGCTCTTGTTCCAGGAGTCTCAATATCTCACTCGAACAACAAAACACCAGTAGATCCAGGCACGCTGCGGGTGTTTCCTTTGTCTACTACATATTGAACTGTGTTGCACCGCAATGCCTTTGAACGAAACATCACCTGTATGACGCCAGGGCGGTATCCCTCTTCTCTGCTTCTCTTCCGTCGGAACACGGAACTGTCACACAACATGAGCCGGGAAGGAGCTACGAAGCGTAAGGCGTCTGATGGTTTCCATCCTCAGCCTGAACGGAAGAAGTCAAGATCAGGAGAAGACAACCAGGAGCTCTCTCGGCAGCCTGAAGATGATACGGAAGCGCGCATTGAAGAGGGGAGTCTGCGGGAACTGGCCAACCTGAATCCGGATCCAGCAACGTCTGAGAGAAACGAAGAAGGCGCGCAAGTCGCAGCACAGGCTACGGATGCACAAGGGTTCGATTCTGCTGCTCCGGCGCAAAGCGCACGGAGAACCCATCTTACGACGCTCGGACCGGTAACTCCAACACTGTCTGAGGGACACGAAGAAAACACCCCAGACACGGCACCGTCAACGAACACACCACCGTCCGATCCCGATGCTACAGGGGAGAACGCACGGAGAACCCACCCTGTCAGCCCCAGATCATCCGGCACCGCCACGCCCACCGCTCCAACAGCCATCCCGCTCGTCAGCGCTGAAGCAAAGGCGATCGTCAACAACGCCTTTGATACTTTCTACCCAAGACGCCAAACCTCTACTACAACATCCCGCATCTCGCTCGTCACAATCTTGGGCCAACAACACCCAGGCGACTATGGCTGGATCAGCCGCGCCTGGAAGACTACTGATACAGACGACTACGAGGACACGAGCGGTTGTCGTGATCTGGCGCACCGGGTGGATGGAAATTTCCGGCTCAGAAGCGAGGGGAGATTGAAGAACGACCCAAAGCCGTGCAATGTGCTGAAGAGCTTGGACGAGTGGGAGAGGGAGGAGGTGGAGACGGATGAGGATGGTGCGGATGACACCGGACGCTAGAAGGTTAACCTGCGGAGCGAATAGACAAATGAATACCCTTACGGGAGATTAAAAAGTATAAGTTTTGTTGAAAGACCTCATGAATGCCAGCGGTGCTCGTATGCGAAGGGTGGGAGACACTTACAGAGCTACCTGGGTCGCCGACGCTTAGTCCAAGACCATGGTGAGGTTGCCTGTCCACGCTCCATGTTTCGTCGCGGAAGTAAGGTCTGTAAGGTAAAGTGCATCACCCAGCAAGTTCACTCCGACCGCTGCAGTGTTACATTCTGTACCGGCTTGCTGAAGAGAGATTCGCTTTGGCAAGGTCCTCCAGCCTGCAATCGTTATGTTTGCAAGTGGATTCGTGTCATTGTAGTCCCCAGATACTGCTGTATGAAGAGTGTTGTTTGCAAAGGTGAACTTAGACAAACGTTAGCTCTTTGAACCAATGGATTGCAACAATACTCACCTGAACATTCTTCGTTGCTGACTGGACGACGCTAATACCGTCGTCTAGATAGAGCTCTCCTTTGCTTCCTCGTTCTGGTCGAGGGCAATGATCAAGCTCCATGGATTCTTGCGAGACATCGCAGTCGTGTTCCCAGCCTTCTGGATTGGCACAATACTACCACCCCGAACGTGGATGGGTTGATGCTCGATTGGGGCTGGGAGAGTCTTGTTCTCCCCTGGCGCAACGTCCATCTTTCGAAGCGTGTACCAGTCGTACCAAATTGTGCCGTTGGCAACTCCGGGAAGATTCCTTTTACGGTCGTTGCAAGTGGCTCCAAGACAGGTGTAACAAGAAGGGCGGGTCCAGACATGAATTGGTTGTCAATGGCCTTTAACTGTGGGTCGTCCGGAAACTCCCAGGCCAATGCGCGCAATACCGTCTCGCCAGCTTGGTTTGCCTTGTGAAACAGTGTGTACGTGTACGGAAGCAGAGAATAGCGGATGCTCATGATACGGCGCGTAGATTCCGCAGTCGTCGCCCATCGATAGGCCTCCTGCGCGATCGTGTTGCGATTGTTGTGGTTGCGGTACCTGGTCGGGTCAGTCAAGAATCACAGGTACACTCATGGCCCGACATACAGAGGAAACCACGCGCTAAGCTGCATCCACCTTGTGCACAGTTCCATGTCGGCATTCCCATTGAAGCCGCACGTCTCAACGCCGAAATATGGTATACCAGCTATCGAGAACTGCAGCGCTTGGGAGATCCCAAAGTACATGTTTCCCCACATGGAGTTTGTATCCCCACCTGTATCGGTCAGCGACATGAGCAGTGTCTCCGTTGCTTGACTTACCCCAATGCCCAGAGAAGTTGCCGCTCCCAGCAAAGGTACTACGTGCGATGAAGAACGGCCGCTTGTTCTGATAGACCTGGAGCAGTGCGTTATAGCTGGCGTTGGCGCTCAGGTGACCATACAAGTTATGAAGCTCGTATTCGGTACTGTTGTACGGGCCGTCATTGTGCGTTGCGTCGGGTGAGATGACCTGTTTGAGGAGACTGTGGCCTGGAAGGAAGTTGTTAATGGCGTAAGGAGGGAACGTAATATTACGAACACCTGGCGTAGCGAGTGTTCGACCGACCGTTGGAGTAGGCGTTGCTGTAGGCGTCGGGTACATGGATGATTGCGATGCCATCGCGGCACTAGCTGAAGCTGCCTCCGTTGCGTTGGTTACATTGAACATTTCTGGATAGCGGTAATCAACAGCGATGGATGTGTTTGGATCGCCTGGAAGAGCGAATGGTACATGAACCGGGTTAAGCTCAAGCTGCCCTTGACCGCAGCTCCCGGTACACCAAGACGTTGGGTCGCTCACGTCCAACCAGAAGCCATCGAACGGTAAAGTCAAATGGAACTTGACAATTTGCTCTGTCCAGAATTGTTGAGCTTGGGAGACAAGAAAGTCAGGCCACACGCTGAAGCCATTCCACTCGGCTCCATAGTACAAACTATCGTTTCCGTTGCGGATGAATGCGTTGAGCTCAACACCACGATCATAAGGCGAATAAGCGTCGCTGGCATTCGTCGAATCTGGCGCATAGATATTCGGATCCAGAAGAGGCATATAGTACTGGCCTCGAGCATGCAGCCTTTCGAGGAACTCACGCCCTTCGTCCGCTGGGTAATTTGGATTGTTGGTGAAGTCTCGATTCAGGTATAGATAATCGAGATCGTTCATGATGCCTTCCAATTGAATGCTTTGCTCCGCATAGAGGTCAATGACTTCCTGGAGGTTTGTCCAATTCAGATAACCCCTGTTCATCATTAGCAAGATCTTAGGCGGTACCAAGCCGACCTACCATCTGACTTGATGGAATCCGAGCGCCCAATATGGCTGCATGACTGGAGTGTTGACAATCCCGGTGTGGTATTGACTGACGACTTCCTTTGGCGTAGGTCCGCTGAGAAAATAAAAGTCGAAGCTTCCACCAATCGTGCGGTAGGTTATGTTGTCTGCACGGAGCAACCAGTCTTGACCGTGGGCGTTGCGAGCATAGATGCCATGAGAGGTGGAGGACCCATTGCCATACCGGGTTTCCAAATACATCGGATGCGTGCTGTGACCGTTGACGTCAGGCTCCTGATCATTGTCCAGGTTGTAGGCGTTCCAAAAGGTTTGCGTGAAATTTGTACCTAGGCGAAACGAATGGATTGTCTCAGCAAGACCGTAAACGTTGTAGTCTTGAACCATGGAGGTGGCTAATTCGAGGAACTGATCTTCGAACACAATCTTCTTGCCGTACGTGCTGAAGAGTATCTCCCCGGACGTAGCCCGCGAAATTTGGAATTGGAAGCTCGGGTCATTGTTCCAAGAAAACACCAGATCGCTCGTGCTTCTACTTGCACCAGTCTCGATTACCGGATATGGAGTCAGTCGCTCTGGCAGGATGTACAAGGATTCGTTGTTCGGCGCCAGATATTTTGGATATATGCGGACTGCAACCCGGTTCTGGCTCTGGTATTGAACGGTCAATGTCAGGTCGTGGATGTCGTTACCGTAAACATTGCAGGCCGGCCCAGCCAGCGTCAGATCAGCAGTGATCTCCGTATCTGTCTCTATCACATTGCTCGCTTTGTACCCTGGGCATTCATTCTGCGCATTCGGCGCGGTCGCGTCAAGGACGTTTGGGAGCACACTTGGCGCATAGTTGGCAGAAGAAGCAAGTGACGGTTTGAGAGGGAATGCCGGAGGATACTGCGGCTGTTGGGCTAGTCCTGTTCAGCATCGCTTCACCGGGAGACATGTCGCATACCTGAGACGAGAGCCACGAGCGACCAAAAAGCGACGACGGGAGTAAGCATCTTAACGAGACAGCGTATCCTGAGCATTTGCCTCCGAACAATCATGAACAATGCTACTCTTCAGCCCCAGCGGCATCACAGGCTTTGGATACCACGTCTTTGGCCGTGGAGCGACGTCATTCAGGTTCTGGAGAACGCATTATGCATGATCTGCTGTTGCCCAGAAAGCTTCTCCTCTCCGGTAGAGGCAGACACCGTGACACGGTCGGTTCATTTCCAAAGCAAGCACACCGAAGCCTTAGTATTAGCTTTTGTCCTTGCAGATCGAGCGGGCAAAGGCAAGACGGTGTTTGGAGGAAACTCAAGATCTTCCCATCCTGCGATGCGGGAAAAGCGGGGAACCTCCAGTACGGAAATGGAGGAAATGCTGCCTTTGCGAACTGGCACACGGACGCCTAGGTGAGCAACCGCATTCGCCGATCATTCATGTCCTCCCGACAGGGCAGCAGTCGCAGGCAGGTAGGCAGCAGTCGTTTATCCCATTCTTCAGGTCCTCCACGAGATTTCAACGACTACGCTGATTCATTGTATTTCTTGCACAGTCTTCAGCTGCTTACCTTGTGAACTGTAAGAGCGAAGAGCTAAATCGGATAGGTTCGTTCGCACCATAGCGACTTCCAAGCCATTCCACTGTTCCTTTGGAAACTTGATCATGCAATATATTAAACTATCTAGCTTGGATGCAATAATTCATCAAGCAAGCCCGTTTAGCTCAGTTGGTAGAGCGCGACACTAGTATCCAGTATCCACTGAATGCGTAATGTCGAGGTCGGTCGTTCAAATCGGCCAGGGGCAGGCAATTGAATGCATCCTATTCTGATGTGCTGCGTTGGAACGTTGTCATTTCGTTTTTTAGTGAGTACGTCGTGTGTGCGAGCCGGAACGGAAGCGAGAAATCCACGTCCCTTCTTCCACTACTTGGCGAAGCTATTTTTTATCGTTGTCTTGCTTGCCTCTCATGATAATGACATTGAGATCGTCTCCGAGAAAAGAGATCTAGAGGTCTCCCTTTGTTCTGCAAGTTTTACTCCTATGCCATGGTCGTGGCAGTGCAAGTCAATGATGTCGATGTATCAATACACTGTAACTGCTCCGCCTCAGTCGTGGGGCAGTGCAATGCGCACTCACCAGCCCGGCGCCTAGTCAGGTGAAGTCGATGGACGCTTTCTCCAGCAATCCATCTGAATCCTTTTGGGAGTTTGGGACATGCATCTCACATCCCTTCCAATCCGATATGGCTTCCATGTACCAGTCACCCTCGGAAACTGAGATTCAAGCTCGAGAGCAGTTGACGTCTCTTGGTCTTCCATATCGGTATCCTACTAGTATTAGCGTTGGCCAGATTCGACTATTGAGATCAACACGTTGTGATTCTCCGGCGCCGTATAGCAGCAGCTCATCGCAGTCTCTTGGTTTCTTTCTTGGTGTACACGATCTGATTTCAGCACCGGAATTTGCAGCCTTGTCGTACGAATGGGGCGAGGCAAGCGCTAACCAGTTTATTTGGATCAAGGGATATCCGCACTGGATGTTTCCATCGATTTCACCAATGGATGACCATGGGGTTTTTCCTATACGACCGAACTTGTGGAACTTCCTCAAGTCGATGTATGGGGGCGATGGGAACGCATGGCCGGAGTATATCTGGATAGACGCCATCTGCATCAATCAAGAAGACGATGTCGAGAAAGGAATCCAGATCCCACTGATGTACGACATTTACGCCAAAGCATCACGAACAATCATTTGGTTAGGCCAGGGCGGCTCTAGGACTTTCAGGGCCATGAAATTTCTTGCAAGACTGGACGAGGTGGACAAGAAGCTGGAGGAACTGGAGGCACACTATAAACGAGTGAGAGAAGATCGCCAAAGGCGGCAGGATACAACTCTGTCACTCTTTGAGGATATAACTCTGTCAGTCGTTGAAAAACTAGTGTATTTGAAGGAAGAGGGAGGTGAGATTTTCCATCTTCACTGTCCAGGTGCGATGGAAATGGCGGCATTGTTGCATGACAATACATATTGGCATCGAACTTGGATTGTTCAAGAAGTGCTGGCGTCTAATGCGCTAGTCATACGCCTAGGTTCTCATGAGCTTGCTTGGAACTGCCTTGGAAGATTCGTGATGATCAAGTCTAGGGTAGAGAAGGTGTTGGAGGCGCGTAAGGTCGCACGAGAGCTACTTCGATGGAGAGAACGTTACGGGGAATTGCAGGATCTTATCATCCAGGATCCCGAGATTCTTGGAGAAAAGTACTGGCAAAGGCTCCTCAGATCCGCAGCTTTTGCTCTTGTGGACGACAGACTGAGGTTTTCCACAGGCAGCCGCTCAATGCTTCAATTGCGCTCACCGGACGAAGCTGCCGAGGACCTGGTTGCCCTGGTCAGAGCGTACAGAAACACTGGCTGCAGCGATCCGCGAGACAAAATCTATGCCTTTCTCGGACTGATCGGCTGGCGACACATCGATAGCCCTCAGAAATTCTCTGTTGATTACAAACAATCAACGGAAGATCTCTATCACTCGGTCATGCGGTTCGTGGCACAGTTGGACGCCTCGAATGCTGCGCGCCTTGGTCCTTTCTTAGCTGCCGCTCTGGATCTGAATATCTGGATCTGACGAACAAACGGCTTAGGACCTCATCTCTAATAATCTGCCGATGTCTGTTACTTATCGAGAATTAACCATCCGCCTCCGGCTCAGCAGCCCAAAACACCCAAGCCAACATAACCACCGCCTTCAACCCCGCCGCCGTCCACAAAGCACCAGCCAACCCGACAGAGCTGTGTGCAAACAGACCGCCACACACCGCTCCGAACAGCAACAGGATCGGCGCAGCCGTCCTCCGGTTCCGCTCCACGTTCTGCGTGATGCCAGCAAACAGCTTCGGATCCGAAAACAGATCACAGTAGTTACTGGTCAACACCACCGACGTAAGCCCGCCGTACTGCAGCACACGACTCGTGACCGCCTGGCCACTACCTTGGAACGCAACCGCGGCCAAAGGAACGAGGACCTGCCAGTGGAGGTCATCGCTACCGTCCCCTTTGGCGCCAAAGGTCACGATAGACGCGGCGCCGGCGATGAGCAGGAACTGCATGAAGAAAGACGAGACCAGGACCCAGCGTTGGCGGGGCGAGAAGGTGCGGTGGTAGAGACCGAAGAAGAAGGATCCGAGACAAAAGAAGCCGATGGAGATGGCGGATTTGATCCAGCGGGTATCGCCCTTGACGTCGACGAGGCCGAGGCCAAGGTAAACCGTGTTTCCTGCATGATTATTAGGTCTGTCTGGTCACACGTCGGGCGCGAAAGCGGCGGCTGGAAGTGGCAGGTTATCTGCATGTCGAGAGGATACGTACCTGTCTGCATGCTCACGAAAGAGCCCCAAATGAACACGGCAGAGCTGTCCAGTAGACCGGTGATGATGTAGCAGCCTAGTAGGGCAATGTCCGCCCAGCTTTTGTGGACGTTTGCTGTCATGTGCTTGTGCAGGCGTTTGCCCATTCGAGGTTCTTTGGAACCATTGCCCAGCAATGGACTCTCTTCGTCAGAGGCATTGGCAGTGCCATTGCGCGACGCTCTGTTGCTGAGGCTCATCCTGGCTTGGTTGCTGCTTGGGACGTCCGCTGGATCCGCTGGTGACGGCGATGCTTAGTGAAGAGATGTAAACAGGGATTGCAACCACAAGGAGTTGCGTTCTGCGGATTGGCGTCCGCAATATGTAATGGCTATGCCGGCAAAATATAGGCGATGTTCGACATGGATGTCCCTCATCTCTCCACTGCCGAGTGCCCGGGTCTGGCGGAGAGCAGCACGGACGGCAATGGCGTCACTGTCAACCATCGCATCATACAATACGCATCAAATTCGCGCTCGTCGTTCTGTTCGGTTTGTCTGTTCGCTGCTGCAAGACTCGTCGCTTCTTGTGGTACGTTGCGGAAGAGAAATACACACAAGATGCGTTTCTTGGCGGATGTGGTCGTCTTGTCGACGCTGCTGCTGAACAGCTTCACTTCGGCAATCCCCGTTAAGCAGCAAGAGCGATTGTCGCTCAAGGAACAGAAGCATTTCGGCAGCCCGCAGCACGGCAGACCATTCACGAGGAAGCACAATGACCCGTACGATCACAAGATTGATACGGTTGGAAATGGGATGCAGCCACTTCCTTTCGTGAGTATCCTCATTTCTTAGCCCTATGTGTCGAACGAATCCACACAATCCCACGTTTTTCTCCCTCTCTCTTCGTTCGCCCGTAGAGCATTCCCGGATCATATCGAAGTTAGAGCACAATGCCTATCACGGAATGCGTTTCGTTCAACCACAGCTGGGACATGTCCTGTTCCGTCCACCCTTACTGACCACTCATACAGCGCAACGGCGACGGCGCTACCATGCTCGGTCCTCGCAACAAAGACCGCGAGAGGCAAAACCCGGATATGATTCGACCACCAAGGTGAGCTAACCTGCCTGCCACAAACACAAAAAGAGACAAACTGACGTTCTCCCCCCCAGCACCGACCATGGCACAATGCCAAACATGCGTTGGTCCTTCGCAGACTCGCACATCAGGATTGAGGAAGGTGGCTGGACCAGGCAGACGACTGTGAGAGAACTGCCGACTAGCAAGGAACTGGCTGGCGTCAACATGCGACTGGATGAGGTATGTCATGTTATCAGTGTTGCTATGCGGAGTTCAGAGCTGACCAGGAGCAGGGTGTCATCAGAGAGTTGCACTGGCACAAGGAAGCCGAGTGGGCCTACGTGCTGGAAGGTACGGTCTCCCTAGCGTTCGAGTGCTCAATGTACGTGCTGATCGCTGATGTGCTGCAGGCAATGTGCGAGTGACGGCCCTTGATCTCGACGGTGGCAGCTTCGTGGACGATCTCGAGAAGGGTGATCTGTGGTAGTAAGCCGCTCTTCCCATTTCATCTGCTCGAACTACAGAGTTGACAAGTGCATTAGCTTCCCTGCAGGTCACCCGCACTCTTTGCAGGGCCTATCACCTAACGGCACCGAATTCCTTCTGATATTCGATGATGGGGGCTTTTCCGAGGACTCGACATTCTTGTTGACCGACTGGCTTGGTGAGTAAACCCCTTCCTAAATTCCTGCCTAATAGTCCATCTAACCTCCTCCACAGCCCATACCCCCAAAGCAGTAATATCCGAAAACTTCCGCCTGGCCCCCGAAGTCTTCGACGCCATCCCCGAATCCGAAAAGTACATCTTCCAAGGCTCCCTCCCGGGCTCCATCGACGACGAAGTCCCCAAGGGCCACGACATCAAAAAGTCCAAGCTCAACTTCACCCACAAAATGCTCGCCCAGAAGCCCGAAAACGCGACCGGAGGCGACGTCCGCATCACCGACAGCACAAACTTCCCCATCTCCAAGACCGTGGCGGCGGCCCACCTGAGCATCCACCCGGGCGCCATGCGCGAGATGCACTGGCACCCCAACGCCGACGAGTGGAGCTTCTTCATCAAGGGCCGCGCGCGCGTCACCGTCTTCGCGGCCGAGGGCAACGCGCGGACCTTCGACTACACGGCCGGCGACGTGGGCATCGTGCCCAAGAACATGGGCCACTTCATCGAGAATTTGAGCGAGGAGGAAGACCTCGAGGTGCTGGAGATATTCCGCGCCGACAAGTTTGAGGACTTTAGCCTGTTCCAGTGGATGGGCGAGACGCCGCAGAGGTTGGTGCGGGACCACCTGTTCGCGACGGACAAGAAGGCGGGAGAGAAGTTCGAGAAGGCGATCAAGGGGGCGGAGAAGGATGTTATCAAGAAGAAGTGGG